TGTTTACTAGACAGTTGATCTACCACTTGAGCTACTGAGGAGCCATACGTTCACTCACACCGCAGGTTTGAATAAGTTCTCGCTTTTAATTTGAGCTGTTTTTACCTCCAGTTTGATTTTTAATAGATATATTAGGAAATGATTCTAATACTTGTAGATAAGTAAGAAATTTCATATTACACAATTATCATCGGATTGGCACATATGTAGATGGCGGCACCCTTATATGAGCACTCTTAAAACCATCCATGTCCTCTTTCCGATGACAAATGTATAGTACTGAGCCATATCTAGATCATAGATTCAATGATGTATAATAATAACAGTATAATCTTTTTGCCTCGAATTTCGAATAGATGAATTGTAAATAACTTGAATGAAATGTTGATCAACTGTTTTTCTTAAATATTGGATTACTGAAAAATCTTTGTTTCTTTAGATCGACATATCTACATTGTAAATGTCAGTGCTGCCCCGACAAAACTTGAAAAAAGTTTGTGTGTGTATGTGTGCGTATGTGCATGCGCATGTATACTTAGCTGCTTGTAGACAAATGTCATATAGTATTTCTATATATTTTGGCTGGCAGCAGCGTAAACTCAGCACTCCTTAGTAGAAAGAGAGAAAAAACGATATTAGTATATCTATATAGGCGTTACAAAAAAAGCGTTACGCTTTGAAAATTTCCACTGCCCAAGTGGAAAGTCCAAACCTCGTATAAAGTGTTTTCACATCAAAAACTCGTATCTCGTGTAATCGCTTCCTTTCACTATGCACTCAGCTTCCTAGCTGTAGCTGACGTTTTCGCTCTTCGTAGGCGCCCATTGGGTGTACCCCTTTTACGCGTCTCTAAAATGTACGCTTATGCTTAACACAGTAGCCAGACTAGACACACGACCTGATAATCCTGGTCAGTGCATATACACGACATGGAAAAAAAGTAAGTAACATTCATACTAAAGTAAAATTTTAAGCACATCTCCCCTCACATATTATTTACGTAAAACCCAATATTGCGTGCTATTAAATTAAGATATTAGTAGCCTAGCAGGTGGTAACAGAAAAATATATATAACAGAACTAAACGAATAATTGAAGATTTAATGCGACGTTTTGTGCCGGTTGGTGTAAATGCCGACAGCCAAGCAACTAGCTCCTATTTAAAAAAAATCAATCTTTCACAATGTATTGTGTACTGGTTAGTGTAAATGCCGCAATGCTTGTCCTGGTTGGATGCGCACTAGGTGCAAACTCTATTTTTTCTACAGAGGGCACCATCGACCCTCAAAAATACCCAAAGAAGGAAATAGTATATTTCTTACGTAGGGCAGAAAGTACAAGTTGCGCGCCCGAAGGGCGTGGTTGTTGTATGTTTGTGTCCGAGGTGAAAACGAAATATTCTGTATCGGAAAAAGAAAGTACAACTTTGCGTGCGTGGGCACACTTTTCGCCCTAAGGCGGGATCAGAATTTGGGCTCGGCAGGGCCAGAATGTTTTTTCCCAAAGGTGGGCGCAAAGTAAATAGTGGGCGGAAATGTGCCCTAAGGCGCAAAGCACTATGTCCAAGGGATGAAAAATTGTTATATAGTATAGTATGCACCTAGTGAGCAAGGTTAAGAAAGTCTTAGACCTAACGTGACTAAACGCCCGAAGCAAAGCTGAAGGTGATTAATGTGCAATATAATGGATTTCAAAATCTCCAATCATGGTGCGGGTACTGTTTTTCGACACGCCGCGCCGTGCGCGGGGACTCGATTATGAGCTATCTGTTGTGGCATTTAAGACCTCAATTTAAACACGCTACTCACAGCTTGTGCTGCGCATTCATGCGAGTACGTGTGTACGTCGAGGTTTTTGCAGAGCCACATTAGATGGCTCATAATCTCGTTCGCCACGCACGATGTGTCGAAAGGTTGTATACACCATACGTGCGAGAGGTTATGTGACTGACGCACCGGTGCAATCTGAGACGCGTACGTCAATATTGTCTGGCGTATATGGCACTTTGTGCCCTCGGTTGAAAAAAAATTCGTGACTCAGGTATAAACATACAATAACTGCATCCTTCAGGCACTTATGTTTGTGTTTTGGGCCCTATGACGTAATGTACCGTATAAACAAATTTCAAACCAGTACTACCCTTCCCCAGGTACTAGTATCGTAATGTACTCTTTTACTAATCGTGTTTTCTTTCGCGCAGTATGGTGAAATAGTAGTTTTCGTCGGATAAGTGCCATCGTCTCCGGGGTTATTTTTCGGCCCAATTAACCTGCGAAGCAGGGCCCGAGGGATGTAATGTAGCAGCGGAGTGATGGCGCTTATGTGGCGAATCCTGTTTTTCCTACCGAGGGCACACCCAACCCTCAAAAATCACCTGAGGTCAGAAAAATCTTTTTTTATAAATTTTTTTTTCTAATGTGCAACTAATACTGTGCCTATTTACTTATGTTATACATGTATAATATCTCTATTAATACTTTATTAATAGTTTAAAAATGCTTTAATATACTCTGTCTTCTGTTGAAACTGGTTTGAAATTTGTTTATACGGTACATTACGTCAATAGAGCCCAAAACACAAACATAAGCGCCTGAAGGATGCAGTTATTGTATGTTTGTACCTGAGTCACGATTTTTTTTTTAACCGAGGGCGCAAAGTACCATTTCGTGCCCATGGGCACACTTTGCGCATAGTAAACCTCTTTGGGTCCTAAGGCAACAAAGTACTTTTGGTAAAAATTTTTTTGCCCATAGGCCCAAATTGATTACAACGGCACAAAGCGGCAGTTGCCTTTTTCGCTTACGGTAAGAAAACAATTTTTTAAATATTAGTTTGGTTTTAAAAATGTGCTTATGAATATTATTTTCACACATTACCCCCCCCNCTTTAGTAAGAAACGAAAAACTGATTTGACAATAAACTCTTGTAGCATGTGTGCCCCCATACTCTCTTGTCAAAGTATTGGCTGTATTGTTCCCTCGTTTTTATTTTTTCATTCATTAATCCCGCCTGATATTTCTTTACTAGACGTCTATAGACAACATAAAAGTCCCAGCTTCTAGATGTCTTAAAGTAACTTTTTTTTGTAAAATTATTTAAAATTACCAGCAATCAAAACAATAAAGTTGCGTAACGATACATACATTTGTTGTGAAGGTATTGTAAAAAAATGCTACTCGACACGACTACTTTTTAACGCCATCTTGAAGGTCAAAATTAATAATGATTGATACGGAAATAACAGATTTATAAAATTAAGGTTTTAGCGTAAAAAAAAGCCCAGGATTAATTATTTTTTTTATTACGACAATAGGTGAATTTTTAGTTAAAAATCTTAGGTTTTTTGAATAAACAAACATTATGTCTCGAAAACTAATTAGTATTTGTTATTAACTACTTTATTGTTAGTTAAGGGTAATAATATACACATTCCGCTTAATTTTCAACACTCGTGTTTTTCCTATTGGGGTAAGAACATATAGAAAATTTTGGAAATTTCTTCGGTTTTTTGGTATTATTTAAATTAATAACCAACGAAACCTAATCCATTGGTACTTAAATTAACTGATTTTTAATCATCTAGAAAAAAGCGATTTTTAAAAGAATTATTATATTACAGTTTTTTAGTTATTTCTAAAAGGTATCAATTTTCGTGATTTTTCCGCACAAAAGCCACTATTTAACACTCTTCTGTTTATTTACAATTGGAACCAGTTCAGAGACATTTCTCTTAGTGATAAACACACCAAATTCTACCTGTGGTTATCTGTCTTGAATTTGTTCCATGTGTTCAGGTTTCGTCGTCTAATTCCACAAGTAGCTAACTAATTTTTTTACAATCACCAACCTTGTTCCCATCACAGTGCTCTGTCTCTAACCCTTTTTAATACGTCTCCACACTATTGAGCGGCAGATATTTTTTAATGACAGGTTTGAAAAAATTTGCTACTACAGGAAATAACACACGAATCATTTTTTCTCCGAATTTTTTATTTGACCTTAGTAAAGCAGGAACAGATTATAACTTCAGGATCTTTAAGTACTTAGCCTTTTGGAATTATAAATATACATATCAAAAATTACATACAGATGTGCAGAACGATACAAACTTTTTTTACAATTACTTCTCAAATTGATTGTTTTATATTTCGATTAGGAAAGTTAGGACATGTGTCTAAACGATGAACGAGTTGTGTAGTAGTGAAAAATTTTTGATTAAAAAAAAAATCGTCACAGGTTGACATCTTATTTAATTGCAGACTTTTGACCACAATAGTACGAAATAAGACAGTTTGTGATTATCTGTAAATTTTGAGGTCTAATCTGCTTTTTAAAAACAAGTGCACAGCAACTTTCAAAGCTGTGTAAATGTCTTAATAATGTGAGAGGGTACGGAAAATAGAGGGTGGTTGCACAGGGGTTAGTAAAGAATTTTGTGGGGGGTGTGCGCAGTGGTGGCATATGTTTGAGAAGGGTTCGCTCAAGGTTTCTTGATAATTTTTTATGAAAAAAATTAGAGAACAGTGCGCATTGTGGCAGAAGCTCACATGGGGTTTACTGATGGTTAGTGAAAAGACTGAGAACAAACAAAAATTTTAAAGAAACACATAAAAATTCAACTAACTCCTACGACCTGACACGATGCTACTAAAAATCGAATACTCTTGAGTGGCTAGGTAGTATTTCTTGAATGACGGATTATATCAAATTTATTGATGAAATAACTATTTAAGGCGATAATTTAGATGAAAGAAAATATTGATAACCAATATTAAATTTAAAAAAAATTAATGAGTAAAACATTCATGAGTAAGTCAAAACAGTAACAAAATTAAATGTTTATATAGTTAATAATAATATACAAATGAATATTATCAGGTATTCTTACGAAATTGAAATTTTTTTAGCTAAACGAATATTTAATATGAAAATAAAGTATCTATTATAAATGACAAATTTTTTATTCCATGATTTTCAGTATAATAAGTTACACCACTTACACAGTAAATTTTGATTGCTTTTAACATTGTCGATTACACCACTTAGTTATATAATCGTGATAACTAACAGTTACTTCTTCACTTTGATATCTTGTCAGCTTTAAGCTACGTCTAATAACGGGTGTTATTAGACCTCTATAACCCCCTTTGTGAAGTAATGAATCAATTGTCTGTATTTGATCCCAACCTAAAAAATTTTAAAAACTTGTTGAAGAAAGTTTAAAATGATATAAAATGATCCATAAAAAAATTAGCATTATTTAAAACATTTGAATCCATTGTAATAGACATAATGATTTTATGATAAGTTTCTTAAGTGGTAAAAGATTTATACTTTGATGTAAATTGAAATTTAATATTTCACGCAGAAAGCCATAAATTAGCTTTAAAAAAAAAAAAATAAAAGAAAAAAAAGGTTTATCTGAGAAGGTATTTGAATTTACTTGAAGAACAAGTTCCAGGACAATACAATAAAGGTAATATACTTGCAACCCAAAAAAAGCTAAAACTGTTAATTTGTTTTATTTTTTTCAATCTGATTTCAGAAAAAAGTAATTTAAAAATGGTCACTATAATTGTTTATTCTTAAAAAATGCATCATAATTGACTTGGTTCCATTTTTTGCACAGAAAAACTGTATGGAGTTAAAACTTTGAAAGTTAAGTCATCTGTATCCACCAAAAAAGACTGTAAAATCGAATAGATATTATCTGCTCAGGCAGTCTAAAGCTGTTTTTGTTATTATGATCGCTTAAAAAAAAAACTAGAAAGAAATCATACAGGATAGCTAACATAAAAAACAAATTTCAAAAAAGTATCACTGAGTTGCTTCTTTTTGGCTATAATATTGTTATACTAATAAATTTTTTTATCTGAATTTGTGAAAGTTTACTACCAATTCAGTAACTTTTTAGTATTATTTATTTTCTCTCAGTAACAACACGTTGGAAGAGAAACTTACTTTAGTAAGAAACGAAAAACTGATTTGACAATAAACTCTTGTAGCATGTGTGCCCCCATACTCTCTTGTCAAAGTATTGGCTGTATTGTTCCCTCGTTTTTATTTTTTCATTCATTAATCCCGCCTGATATTTCTTTACTAGACGTCTATAGACAACCCTATATACTTCATACTACATTTCATTCTTATCAGATTATAGTAATCAACTCACTATCATACGCTTGTACTTATTTATGTCCTGCATAACTCTTGGGACTTAATTGTATGTATGATTATCTATTATTTACTGAAATTATTTTGTCAGTAATTCATTACAGCTGTGAAAACGTAAGCTAATAATGATTTTTGTTTGATTTTTATTAGAAATTTCGTTTTTTGTTATTTAAGACAGTACGTATACTTGAACTGAAAAGTTGTGTTAACTCGTATAATCTAGTTTTAAAACTTTTTTTGATCCATTTTTTTGTTACACGTTACATACCTACTGCTTTTATTAAAATATGTATCTTTTATTTTATTCTCCTTTTGTAAATTTCCTGACAAAGTTTTCTAAATAACAATAAAACTTCTCAGCAATTTCAATTACTTATGGCTACTAATATCACCATCGTCTACTATTTGTAGAATCCAGTTATGAATAAGAGGTGATCTGTTTCTCTTGGCTTAGTATGCACGTAATATCTTGGAATTGTATCAGAGGTTATCATAGATTATACAGAGCCAATAATCTCGAAGAGTCAACGCCACAATAGCCTATTTTACGAGGCACGAAGGGGTATGGTTCGATACTATCTCCAGCATCCGATAAAAATCCAAAAAATCCGAAAAAAATGATACAAAATACGTCATTTATTCTGATATTCATACTTTTCTATTTTTTTCTGCATTTTCTCACACATGTATTAAAAATTATCACAATCAAAAAAATTGCTGTATGCTGTTCCATATGCTGTGTACGATATGCTGTTCCATTCGGCTATGCGAGGAGCGCGGAAGGTTTGTGCTGGCTGTTTTCTGGTTGTTGTGTTGTCATCGTACTAATCAGTCTAGTCGTCATAGCCTGCAGTCATCAGCAACAAGTCGGTGAGATGGGAAGTAAGAGGTGAAAAAGAAATGTAAACAAAGCAGGTAATTAATCTGTTGCTCGCTCTCACTCTCTCTCTTTCTCTATGCAATGCTGGTTTTTAAACTTAAGAAATTTTTTAAGTATTGTTTCGAATGTGTTTTTACTTCGATTAAGCAAATTCTCTCGAGAATACAATTTTCTATTGTCCTGTATATGGCCTATTTGCTTCGTTCTTAAGAAACTTATGCATGCAAGTAAATGTTTGCTCAATAAATTTTATTGCGGTGACCCGTATACAATTTTAGTGGACTTACTCACTTTGTGTGACTCAACTACCACCCACAAACACGAAATTCGTGGCGTGGTTGTGTGGTTTGGTATTCGCATAAGCACTAAAGATCGAAAGTATACAAGCGTTTTCGTAGTGTGCTGCGAATCATTGGAATTTCGTTGCATTAGAATCGTCTGCTTTAATGTGTGACACGGTAGTAAAGTTTGACTTTCACCCACACATACACAAATTAGGAAGAGGTTGTTTGGCCTTGAGCTTGCATAGGCACGAGACATATTCAAACATGTGTAGTGTGCTGCAAATCTCTTTTCTCTCTGTTATGATCGTTTCCGCTGGTACAGCTGTAAGCTGTGGTGGCTCAGATCGGTTTTACCCAGAAATATACACATGTTTCAATTCGTTTTCTTATGTCACGGTAGCGCAGATTAGACTACTACTTGCACACAGAGACAAGTAATGAATATTTGTGTTTTGAAGTGTTCGTATAGGCACATGTTCACTTTCGTAGTGTTCTGCGAATCACTTTTGTATTGTTTTTCAATCACTTTTGCACCGTCTGTCGATCATAGTCCTAGTGGATCATTTTTTCATCGCTTTTCGATTGTAGTAATAGTAAATCTTTCATAGTGTGTTGAGGCAGTGCAAATTCCATCTTCTGCTTACATGCGTACTCTAGCCTGTCTGCGGTGTGCCGCGGTAGTGCAATTTAAACTCTTGCCCACACACCTACACAACATCGTCGTACTTTTTCTAGTTTGTGATCACATAGGCACTTACATCCCCGTTTGTTGTGTGCTGGGAGCCACGCTTGCAATTTCCTTCGATCATAGTCAACGTTTGCTGATACCCTAGCTGTCTACTTGCAAGGCAGTTGATCAACAAATAACCAGGGTTTTTTGAAGTCTTTGCAACATAGCAATTTTATTAATCAAGTTTTGCTAAATTTATTAATTTATATTGCGAGTTTTTTTTTATTGGTTGAACTCTAACTAATTTGCTATAGAGACAAGTAGTACATGTACTTAATTTTGCGTTAGCTTAATTTGTTGAAAATGACAGTTTATTCAATTGATTGTTGTAGATTTTTAACATAGTATTTGGCTGATAACGATTAATAGAAAATTTTTAGGTTTGAAATAGTCGTACTCACATATAATTTATTATTAATCTCGAAATTTTTTTTTGTGGTTTCGGGCTTCGAGTTAGACTACAATCATTATTAAAATTTGTAAAGCAAATTCATAAATTAAATTTCTTCGTTAATTTTGGTTTGAGAGATTCTGGCAATAATGGAATGAAAGATTAAATGCATGTAAATTAATTTGGTTGGACTCACGATTGCTTCTTCTCAAGGCTTGTTCAGCAGAAAAGGAAAACATCGTCCTTTCTTTTGTGGTTACAAAAAAAATCACGAACTCGGAAACAGTTCAACCAAAGAAAACTCAAAGTTCCACATGAATAATGACATTCCCAATCTGATTGACCACTGATGCTCGTTTGTACGTGATAACAGCGCTCATAGCTTAGTAACACCAGTTGTTAATATTTTGCTACTTTGAACTACTAATGTCAACAATTTTAACTTTGTTTGAATTACATTTTATTGCGGCGTGATCTACGAGATGTATTAAATTCTTATGAGTTAAATTTAGAAAACGAAAATGTGCTAGTTTTCTAAGCTTTACTGAATAACCGATAAAAAAATAGATTTAAACCACAGTAAGAAATTTTATCGGTAATCAGTGATTCGTTGGCAGTGGGAAAAATATCTTTAAGCAAAAAATGTATTTAAATATAAAAAAAAAAAGAATACAAAATAGAGTTCCCTCGCTAATTACAAATACTTGTCGATTTGTCAAATAAATCGTAATAATGATTAATTTAGTTTTAGTCAGTGCCCTCCGATTTAAGGTCATCGGTGATTCGTTGGCAGTGAGATACACGAAATAAATAAATACCAACAAGGTGTATTTAAATTTCCTCTATTGTTTTATTAATGCAACGTTTTGCTGACCATTTGTGTCAGCCTCATCATGCTAAAAAATTAAAATCACAATAAGAGATCTGACAAAACTCACACACAAAAATAAAATAAATTTAAGATATAAATTATTATCGTAGGTATGCGAGAATTCGTAAGTATATTGACTCACTCGTCACCCGTTGAACTATTGACTGACAATAAATTACACAACTAGCCAGCGCTTATATAAGCGAAGCAGTAAAGGTAGACGGGAAAGGGCAATGACCTCGATCCGGACATTTAAACTTTCGTAGTAAAGAAAGGTACGCTCGATTAAAAGATAAGACATCTTCCTTTCTATTAATGTTATGCTTGTCCAGTTTAATATAAATCATTTTGGAAATAATTCTTTTTTTTGTAATTAGATTCTTTGTCGAGGATTTCGAAGTTATCCCAATCAAATTCATAGTTACAAATATTTTGATGTGCACAAACAACGGACTTAGAATTTTTGTTCTTAATATGTTTATTAATGCGGACCTCCGCAGCTCGCTTTGTCTCATCCACGTATGACGCAGGACAAATTTTACAATAAAATTTATATACGATATTTGTTTGTTTAGGTTTTTCTGTTTTATCTTTTCCAAAACAGACAACGTGGTTTAGTTTATTGTTGATAAGAGGGTAAGTGTGAATATTGTAAGGTTTTAACATGGTTAATATTTTTTGAAAACTATTGTCTATATATGGTATGCCAATTTTGAAGAGAGGATAAATGTTTATAGTAGTATTATTGTGATTAATATATTCGTGTTTTTTTAATCTAACTTTTATATTTTTGTTAATAAAGTTCTAAAGGTAATCTATATGTGTTGATTTTAATAAGCGTGTCTTATACTTCTGTC